GAACAACTAGAGGGGCCATGATCTGATTCAAGATGGCTCCTCAAGATCAGGGAGAGAGCAGAAGTTGGTCTCTGGATGTAGATGAAATGCAGCAGTTAGTCCACAGCTGTAGAAGTTCATGTGAATTGTGGTCCAAATTCAATTTCAGGAAAATTATTGCAGGACAAATTCCTGTGGTGGCTGGGGTAGTGGGCAAAGGGGTGGGGCCAAAAATACAAAGAAAGCTGGTATATTGTAGCTTAAGGTTCTCGCTGCCAGTAAGTCTGGAAAAGCATTTTCACATTGTCATCTTCCTGATCCTTTGTCCCTCCTCTTATTCTCCAATGGCATAGGTTCAATCCATTATCCCTGTAGCTGAGCATAGTACCAAAACAAAATAGTACCAAAACAGGATGAAACAGTTCCATCGTCTTGTTGAAATAGTGGTAAAGAAAGCCACTTTTAGGAGAAGGCCAGTCCAAAAGTGGAGTCACAAACATTTGCTATAGAAAGAAAACCAACAGCAAAAACATTGTCAAAATAAACCCTAAAGAGCTCGTTTCATCAGTTTCATTCAAGATTAAGAGTGTAATTCTATGTATGTTTCGCAGAAAAAGTTATACAATTTCCAGAACCTCTTAGCCAGCATGTTGGGCTTTTTTGTGTCAAAATATGCACTGGATTGTACCCTAAACCTATTTGGTGATGATGGTAGGTGATATGCTTGAGAAAAATATGTTTTTTAAAAATTAGTTTAGCAATATTCAACCTCACTTAAAAGTCAGTCAACACTTTAGATGACTAAGAACCAAAATATTCAATATTCAAAAGATCAGATTCTGAAATTTCGACAAATTTTACATTCATGCAAATATAGCTCTAAACATTAAGTGATAAAACAAAAATGTAGCAATCAGTTGCCTTGGCTTTATTTTCAAGGTTTCCATAAATCTGAGTTATCCTCAGATTCTCCCTGTGATGCATTGACATTGCAAGGTGCCATTGTTACATAAATCCCCATGTTATTTTGTAGGTAAGCGGTTGTCAAGAGCAATTGACCACATTCCTGCAAGATGACATCTCCACTCACAGAAGAGGAATGGCTACCTCCAGATCTCTCACATACATGTGATTAATCAGATAATAATGTCCAGGTCTGGTGGATGGATTTCTGGCCACATCATTCCCATGTGTGGCGGTAGCTGATGTGCATTAACCATGACAGATACAGTGAGTGAAGTGTCCTTTGGCAGCACAACTGTCACCTGTTATGCTGCTGAGTGAAGCGAAGACATTCTTTTGGGTGTATCCTGTCATCCTCAGTCTCCTCTTCTGTGGAACACACAGCACATCACTGGAATAGTTAGGCCATAGAATTTAGATTGTTTGCCACAAGAATGGTCAATGTCACATTCCCATTGAATATTACTGAAGGCTGTTAGAGTGGAAATTCTTGACACGAGGATGGTAAACTATATGGTAAGCATGCTTTACTGTCATGTAACATACTTTACTAGCATTGTGTAACATTTCTTACTGATTGTTATAATTAGGCAAGGATTACTTTACTCACAAAGGCTGTTTTAAGTAGCATGCTTAATTGTAACATTTGAGTCAACCTATAGTTTCTCATAGATGGCATGGTCAGGTGATTCTAGAAAACTAGTATGAGATGTATTTCAAATTATGCAGCCATTTTTCACATGCCATTCTTTTTGTTAAACTGTTGTTCAAATAATTTTCTGCAAATCCTGTAATCTCCGAGTTAGATTCCCTCTTTTACCTAATGCAGCTCAAGTCTGAATATATGTAATTTGCAATATAACTGAAACTTGGATTTGCCATAGCATGTGTCTGTGATGTCATAAGTCAATCACAGAGTACCTGTACGCTCAAGATATGTACATGGAGGGGCAAAGGACAGTGTGAAAGCCAAGCTATGCAAGCAGAATGCCAGGTATGCCACAACCATGGCAGATAGTGTAAGCAAAACATCAGACATGTTGCAACTGCCTTCATATCTCCCCCTTTGCCCCTCTTACCCACTTTTCTGGTCACTGAGGTTATTGGATGGTATATTCCTAGTGGTTCCATATGGACCTATGGCCTGATTTGAGTCTACCCAATCCCAAATGGAAACCTTCAGTAGAGAAGCTCAATTTTTTTTTTTTTTTTTTGCTTCAGGGGGTCAAGTAGGGGGGTCAAAAAACATTGTATTGCTTTTTGCACCTCCACAAAACACTCCTATTTCAGAAAGCCTTCCTGAACCAATTAGCCAGTTTTATTGAGTTTATTGTGCATTTTACATGTTTCATTCTATTTTTATGGTAACCACTCCAAAATCTCCATATTGGAATAAAGCAGCAGCATATAATTCAGTAAATTATAAATAATATACAAATACCACGTCTTGTCTGAATTGTGTTATTAACTATTTTTGGTCCAATGGCAAGGACCTATGTCTCCCATTACAGGGAAGGTGCTGAGTCCTATATGAATCTGGGAGATACCGAAATGGATAACTTTGCATAAGTATAGTTCAGGTATCAAGTTTTACATCTGCTGGCTATTTTTCATGACTTTCTTTATCCAGTTTTGTTCTCTACAGATAGTTCTCCAACAGGTAAGGCAACCATTTTAACACCCAGTTATGTGCTGACCATGAGGAAAGCCCAATCTAGGACATAGACTAATCCATCAACTTTAGGGATTTCTCCAATCCTAAATTCAGAACTCAGATTTTTTTAAGTGTGTGTGAAAATGCAGAAGCATTTGTTGTGCATATTTATCCTAATACAGTTAGTTTTGTATGAATTTTGCCTAACGGAGTTTTTTTTCCAAGCAAGTTCCCAATATTTTTGGGAACAGTACTTCTCCTGATATATGCATCTTTGCAGATATTGTCTATTGAAAAACATTGTTACAAAATATGGAGAAGTGTGCAGTTTGAAAGAGAACAGAGTTGTTTTAAAATGTGAACTGAAAGAATTTGCCATTCCTGTTCAAAACCACCAGCAGTGACTAGAAAAGATGTTCCTGGCTCTTCCTCCACAGGGTTGTTAACCTATTTGCTCCAGGCAGGTGTCAGCACCTTTGCAAGTTCCATGACTGTTATGTAACAGGTGAATTGATTCTATCTGCTACTGTGGCTGAATGTTGTCACTGTGAGATCAAGTCCTCTGAGCTGTCTCCTTTTCATCCCTATCGTGACTATTTCTGGTTAGGCACTTTCTTAGAATGATTTAAAAGTGAGAGGAGAGTTGCAAGTAACATTGTCAGAAATGGTGATTAGAAGCCAATGGCAAGAAGCAGGGAAGGCGCAAAACTTTTTTTTCCTGCCAGAGGCAAAGGACAAGATGTACCCTTTTCCTCTGGAACCATGTGCAAGGCAGGTTCAGATGATCACAAAGGAAGAATAAGCACAGTGGCTAATTCTTCCTCCCTGCCCATGCCAGTTTTCATCTAATTAGCATAATTGCCTTCACCAGGCATTAATCATAATGACACCCAAACCTAGCCAGGATTGTAAACCACCCTAAAAGTTTAGAACAAGCCATGTAAACCTGGTCACAAAAACTGACTGGATTGCTTTAATGCTGGCTACAAGATAGTGCCCTTCACCGTATCTGAAGAACAGGCTATGTAGGGAACATACAACTCTGTGCTACAGAAGAGGGTAATATGCATGGAGCTTCAGAGGACTAGCTGTGGTGGGCATTGTTACCCTGGGCATTGCTTCACTGTGCTTACTCCTAGGGCCGTTCATGTCAAAAAAGAAGTGTGGGGATTCGGTTTTTACCTTTTTGGTTAACCAATAACCCCACTAAATTAGCTGTATTTGAGACTCACACAGCTGATCCCTACCGTTTAAAAAATACCTGGTAACATGTTTTAACTGACTCTTCGCTTGGACAAACAATATTGTCTTGTCCTTCAACCAAAATGGAATGTATCGAATCAGAAAAATTTATGCTGTTTTTAGGGTGGCCATCTCAACTACACTTTCATCCCAATGCTATGCATGTTTACTCTGAAGTAAGACCCAAGTTCAAGGGGACCCACTTCCAAGTTCACGTGCTTAAGTCAGACCTAAAAAACCGATTTCCTGTTAGGCGGCGGCCCTGACCATGGCTAAGGTCTCACTGAGAGTGCCTCGAGAACACACCGGTTACAATCACGCTGGAAGACTGCCCCTTATCAGGCCCAAGAGCAAGAATACCAGTTAGAGAGCAGACTCCCTTAAAAACGTTTCTCGTTTGGGGCAAGGCCTAACCGCGCATGAAAATATTAGGAGGGCTGCGCGGAAGGATACGGGCACACGCGTTTACATGATAAATAGATCCGGCCGCGACGGCCATTTGGCGAATGCGCGGTCCCGAAAAGAGGAGGGGGGAGCAAGAAGGAACGATTCGAGTAACTGCGGGGTGCACCGCTGAGTGCGCACGCGCCGTAACCAGGACTCGAGCATCGGCAGAGGCAAGCTGTAGTGTAAGTGTCCATCAGAGCTATTAAAATAAAAGACTCTCCCTTCCTGCATGGAAGTCGAGAGGTTTTTTTATTATTATTGTGAAGGGGAATTTTTCCTTTGAATGGTGCGGAAGAGAAATCGGGGATCGAGAACTCGCGCGCGAGCACGCACTGCACCCCCCCACCCCGTGATAGGCGAAGACGCACTCGAGTCTCTCTTTGCGGACATTCGCGCCGCATCTCGCGAGATTTTGAGCCAAGACAACTTGGTTTTTTTTAATCCTTTCGCACCTAACTGCAGGAAGGAAAGCAGAAACAAACGCTAGGAAGCACGCGTGCGCCGACCGCGGTTCCCCCCCCCCCCTCCTTCCCCATTTTCCTCCCCGAATGAACGCACGGCCTCCCTTCCTCGACAGTTAAGCGTTGCTGAACTTATCCAGTCAGAAGCGCCTCGGGGGCGGAACCTCTCGCGGTGCTCCGTCCTGAGCCCGCCTTCGCCCCCAGGAGGGAGGGCGGTGGCGGAGGAGGCGGGGCCTATATTTAGCCCCTCCTCTTTCTTTGGCCTCGCCATTGGCGGCGGCGGCGGCAGAGCTTGAGCTTGCCTGAGCTCGTTTGCTGTTTCTGTTCTAACTAGGTTGTCGCGGCCTTCCTCCTTTCCGTTCGCTGGAGAAGCCGGGCCGGAGCCACCCGGTAAGGAAGCCGAAGGAACGAGCGACGGCGAAGAGGCGGCAGCGGCGCCGGTGACGTCGCGGCTGGTGTTCGGTGCGGGCGGGCGCCACCGGCTGTTTCCGGAGGAAGGAGAAACGCAGGCAGCGAGTAAGCGAGCGGCTCCATCCCCCACCCGTAGGGAGGGAGTGCGGCAGCGGCGGCGCAGACAGGCCGGACGAGGCGGCGGCGAAGGAGGAGCAGCTATCGCAACCCCCGGCCGCGGCGGCCACCACCACCACAGACACCCACACAGCTACACTCGCCCCTCGCGGAAAACACGATGGCGCTGAAACGCATCAACAAGGTGAGCGAGCCGGGTGGCCGAGGCGGGGCAGCCCCTGCCGGCTCCGCAGGAGTGAGAACGGATCCCGGTCCGAGGAGAAGCTCCCCTTCGAGACTCCCGCCGTCGCTTCTCCAGCGGGTTGCTGGTGGCCCGTGGCGTTGCTCGTAGGGTGGTGATACATTGAGGAAGGGGTATGGTGAGGAACGGGTGGCCGGGTTTCTTGCTGCTTCGCCCTGCCTTGTCAGGCCTTGTGAAGGGGAAGCTGCCCCTTTTCCGACTCAGCTCTCGAGGTAGGCCTTTAGGGCGCTCATGGACGGCGGATGTCCGTGGGGAGAGGGCTCGGAGTGCATTCGTGTTCGGACATGTCAGCTTGGCCCTCCTGGTGGTAGAAGCGATCGCTTCGAACCCGGTATTGTGATTACAAAGCCTGCTCGTGATTTGCGAACCGGGCCCGGTGGTGTGTGGGAGGGAGACTAGGGAAGAGAACGGACGTGTACATTAACGCCATCCCCGTGGGAGGGGGTGCGCATGTTTTATGTGTGGAATCCGGTCCCCCGTCAATCGGGTTTCTCTCCGCTGGCCGGGAACTTCTTTCCCGCATTGTAAGATGGCGGCGGGCTTGCCTAGTTCAGGCGCTTCCCTGGATCTCTTTCTCTCTCGCTCGCTCTTCTCGCCAGCTTCAGCTATACCATGACTGACACGCACACACGCATCCACATTCTCGGCCACCTCGACGGCAGCTGCCGATTCTTCGTGTCTTCTTCACGGTCCTCATCTCCCTGGCTTCTTTTGTTAAATGCGGAATATGCGTGTTTTGCCTCCGATCTTGACAAGGAGCGGAAGTATGTGGTGGCAGCCGCCGTGTGTGATACATCGAGAATTTCGTTCTTGCACAATCTAGAAGGAGGGTGGAGTAACCAGCTAATTCGAAATGAGTGTCGTGGTGGTGAAGGAAGTCAGCCCTTGTTCCGAGTGGAAGGCTGGCCTGTGGTGTCAGAGGGTGCGGTTTAGGTAACTTCGTCACCCTTCTTGTTTCACTGGTGACGTTCTTGTAAACCATGGGGTCAGTGTTGAAGAATAAGCCACTTGGATCTTGGAAATGTAACAGATGCCTGATTCAAAATTTTAGCTGTTCAAAGTTTTGGATTCCCTTGCCACCATTTTTTTCCCCTAAATAAAGCTGGTTACTGTTCTTGTAGGTAAAGTGTCTGAATTAGGTGAATAGTGCCCCTTTGCCCCAAGTGTGTTTGCTGGGACTCTAATGTTGATGCTAAACAAAAATAGCCTTTAACGTCCCACTTCCACCACTAGTGTGTTTGGCCAAAATAATATTAAAACAAAAATAATAGTAAAACAAATTTTAATAATAGCTTCTGGTAAACTTGCTCTCAAACTTGTTTCCCCTGCAGTAGAACATAACAACCCTTAAGGGAGTTGCCCAGCTTTAATTAGTTTTGTCAGCAACATAGAGGCAAAATATTTAGTAGCCTGATACTTAAGTGCTTTGCTTATTAGTTGTGTGTGTGAGTAAAATAGGCAGACTAACATCTGTGATGAAATGGATACTGATTGATGTTTTTTTGATGTTCTGGGAACAAGATACGGTATCAAATATTACACATGTGGTGCAGAAGCTAAGGGATAACTATGACAATATTTAGATCAATACACTGGAAAAATGGGATTTAATTTAACATAATGACTTTAGTCAATGGTTTTGGTGAATTTGTTGCAAGAATGGTAGATTCTGACTCCAATTCATAGCTTTTGAAGTTCAGCTTTAGAGATAAGAAGAAGCTCTCAAGAAGTCTATAATCTGGAGTTGGAACTCTGAACACTTTAATACAATTAATTTATTCTTACCCATTATTGACTTAAATTCATGCATCCACACAGTTTTTGAATGGCTGTAAACCGATAGTGAGAGCTAAAGTCCCAATTTTACCTTGTCTGCACAGGGTGTGATTTATGTATGTCTAGTTTGATGATATATCTTCTTTATCATAAAAGTAAAATATTGGCTTGGAAGAACATAATCTGAAATTTTTAATAACTCAAGATAGTACTTGTGGCCTAAACAAGAAATGAAAATGTGAAATTGGTTGACAGGCTTTATTCTGTGTAGAATATTGTAATCTAGTAGGGATAAGTTTGCATAAAAATGCACACTTTGTTCAGTACCAAACTCTTATTTAAAGGCATGTTATAATTCTGTTATTACTAAATGCAGATGTAACTTTTCTTGCAGTTATTTTTATAAGCATTGGAATGCCTGAAATACAATTTGTAGTGGAAATCTTAGGTAAATTTCCATATTTACCTAAAATCTCTTCAACTCACTATTAGCAATAGTTCTTAAAATTATGTGGCACACCTAAAACGTGAATTGTATAATCTTGGGCCAAGAATTCTTCCTCCCTCTAAACCCACATGTAAGACTGAACTTTATCATAAATTATGGACCTTCAAAATGGAATGAAATTCAGTATTTGACTTGATTATGATAGCTTTGGCTTGCTTATCTCAATTTTCCCTATTTAAGTAAAACTTTTTCAAAGTACTAAATTTCACTTTGAGTATCAGTCCCAGCATATGGTTTGGTATTGTGAAAGAAAATAACTTCATGAACTAAAATAGAAAATGAAACTATTTGGCGGTCTCTTCATGCAATAGATGAAGAGACTTTTTAAATGTTTTTAAAATGTTTTTTAAATGTTCAGTGCTAATACTTGACTAAATCTTCAAACTGGCCAATTGGCTACTTTGCTAATCCTTGTCCTGCTTGCCCATTACCAAAAATTGCTTGATACATATTTATATATTTTTACTCCTTTCTTCTAGGAGCTATTTGGGGCTGAGTGGGAGCAAGCAGCCTCCTGGCCACTTCCTGCTTTCCACTTAGTTTCCATACCACAAAACAACCTGCTCCTGGGTTGTACTTAATGACATGTGAACCCAAAATTTGGGGTGTGGAAGGAGAACCAATGTAGAGATTTGTTGTTGTTGTCAGGTTGTCTCCGATTTATGGCGACCCTATGAATGAAAGCCCTCAAATGTCTGTGACAGCTCCATTCAGCTCCGAAGTTCAAAGCTGTGGCTTCCTTTATGGATTCAGGCCATCACATATTTGGTCTTTCCTTTCATCTTCTGCCATTGACTTTCCCTGACATGATTGTCGTCTTCTGGAAGTCTTGCCTTGTCATGATGTGTGCAAAGTATGACAGGCTCAGTTTTGTCATTTTTGGTACTAGGGAAAGTTTTGGCTTGGTTTGATTTGATTTAAGAGCCACATGTTTTTCTTTCTGTCCATTCAGGACATTCGCAAAGCTCTTGAAACCCATGTTTCAAATGCATCAGTTTTCTTCCTTGTGGCTTTCTTCACTGTCCAGCTTTTACACCTATACATTGTAATTGGGAATACAAAGATTTGGATGATCTTAACCTTGTTCTCCAGTGAAACATCCTTGCTCTTGATGATCTTCCCTAGTTCTTTAATTGTGACTGTTCCAAGTCTTAGTCTTCTTCAAATTTCTTGGTTGCATTGTCCTATTGAATTGATTTTTGGAGTCACCCAAGAACAACTAACGGGGCAAACATTTTTTCTCCCTCAACAACCGAGTTTTGAACTTGTATCATGAGACACAATCCAAAAGTGGGAGTGTTCTGGATTGTTTTGTAATTCTAGAATAAAGTGGGAGCAATTGGAAGCCACTAACTTGCACCCATGTGCCCTCAATAACATACGAGTTCAACAACCCATGATATGTCATTGTGTTTGAACTGGGCCTGTGTGTGTCCTTCTTTTTTACCCTCTTCAAATACTGTTGAAATAGGTTACAGGGCATGACTGCTCATTAAATCTTGAGGTTGGGTAGTGATTTGAACCAGTTGTCTCCACAGCTTTGGTCTAGCATTATAACCCACAACACCAAATAATGCTTAGCTTGTCAATGTTATGCTTTGTTATTATCCTTGCTCATTTTATTTTGTCTCTCTTGGTAAATTCTGGCTTCTGAAGTGCCTCATCCTTAAAAAATATAAAATATATAAGTGTCATCTATGAATCATTTCATGAATGACCCCTGCAGAATTATTTAGGCCTAACCAGACTGGAGGTGTTGCTTTTCAAGTCTCTTTAAACATGTATCAATTCAGATCTCAGTAATTTTTAATTTTGTTCTGTTTTTAAACAAAAGCAAAACCTAGGGGCCAGAAGTTTTAACAGCCTCAGATTCAGGTGCTGTTGATTGCTTGGTTGAACAAGACATTATGTTTTGGTAATATCCTTGTAATCAGGTGTTGGTCCATCATTCTGAACTGCATATATGAATGGATATTTCTTGTGTTATATATTTAACATAATTGACATCCCCTTCTGGTATGATCCAAGAATCCACCCAACACTTAAGCGTTCTTCCCAGTTTCCTCACTGTGTATATGCTGATTGCTCTGAAGCTGCTTATAGCTAACATTTCTTTAACTCTAAATTTCATACTTCATGAAGATATCCAGTGCCCAAGGACCATGTATTTAGCTACTAAAAATAACTTCACAAAGCTTATCTTCTGGTTATGCATCTTGGTCCTGTTAGCTGGGTCCAATTAAGTATAGCAAATCCCTAAACTTGTAGGAATTGAATTTTTGTCCTGATGCAGGCTTTGGTTCAGTGATGTGAAATTTAGGTACTGCTCTTGTTCTCTTGGTTAAATATTAGACTATAAATTTACCTTCTTATAAGATGCATAGATGGTGGCTCTCACCATATTTTTCTTTCTATGGTATTGAAAGCCAACAGGTGCTATTTTGATATCTTTTTCTTAAAATCATGATTTTTTAAACTACTGGAATGTTTGCTTTTTAATTAGCATACTGAGCAGTATCTTCTGAAATGGTAATTTGCCGTGTCACTATTAGTTATGCATTCAACTGTCCTCATTCTTCCTTACCTTACATTTTCTTGCATTGTCACTTCAGCATTTGTTAACATCATATGATGTATCTCATGCTTACTTTCTATTTTT